ATGGAGCTACTGCGCTCCCGGAAATGGAGCTTTGTTGTTCTTACGTGCCGTCCAGTCATTTCTGATTCAGAGGGAACTTATAGAAGATTTCCAAAGATCTGCTGGTGAGTTTGAACTGCCAACTTTGTGGATCTAGCGGGGGGGGAAACATGGTTGAGTAGTATAGTAGGGTTTGGAGCTGGCGAATGTATGAAATGTGAATTGGCAGGGAAACGCATGGGTGAGCACAGAATGTTCTCTGTCTAGAAGCAGTGGTAACTCTTAGGGTGGCATGAGTACAGCGAATATATATATATATATATAGAGAGAGAGAGAGAGAGAGAGAGAAAGATGAGGCTTTCTACTCCCGTAAAGATTTACAGCCTCGGAAACCCTGTACAGGGTCGCTATGAATCGGAACCGACTCATGGCACATAACAACAACATATATGTAGCTGTTAAGGAGCTCTGGTTGTGTAATGGTTACGAATCGGGCTGCTGACCTCAAGGACAGCAATTCAAAACTACCAGCTGCTCCGCGAGAGAAAGATGAGGATTTCTGCTCCCGGACACATTTACAACCTCGGAAACCCTGTGCAGAGTCACTATGAGTCGGAACCGACTCCATGGTACTTAACAACAACAACATATAGTTGTTAGGTGCCACTGAGTCAGTATCAACTCCTAGCGACCTTATGAACAACAGAACGAAACACTGCCCAGTCCTGGGCCAACTTCACAATTGTTGCCACGCTTGAGCTCATGTATGCTGACACTTTGCCAATCCATCTCACTGGGGGTCTTCCTCTTTTTCTCTGACCCTCTACCTTACCAAAAATGATATCCTTCTCCAGTGACTAGTCCCACCTGACAACATGTCCAAAGTATGAGAGACGAATAGATACATATATGTATACCTTCTACAGCGACACTTATGACCATCATGAATAATCCTGATAACAATTACTCACTGTTGATTCATGAAATCCTATCACCATCATATATATAAGCTCTGATAGCATAGTGATTATAAGTTGGGCTACTAACCTCAAGGTCAGCAGTTTGAAACTAACCGCCATTCTGTGGGAGAAAGATGAGGATTTCTGCTCCCATAAAGACTTACAGCCTCGGAAACCCTATGCAGTCAGAACCGACCCCAAGACACACCACCACCATATATATAAATACAAAGTTCTTTATTCAGATGCACTTAGAAATTCACTCTGGGAAGTGCATAGGGATTCTTCTTACAGGGCTGAGAGATGAGGCAAGACTCCCATTTCCTGTTTTGTGTTTTAGCCAACCACGAGGTGGAGCTCGATTTCTAATGAGTTTGAAATTGCTATTGCAATAGCTCTTGAAGACACACAGATTGGCACCAAAGCCAAGGTTGCTGACTGTTGGCTGCTGCTGTCATTTGATCCCTCTGATCCCAGTATCCTAAAGTGTCCAATTTTAGAGACTTGTGGTACCTAAACCAATGGGCTGCCCTAATTGAAGAGGCTTAAATCCAGAAATTGTGAAAATTTCCTGGTATAAAGGGAAAGGGACCTTAGCCTGATTTACTTAATGTTTTTAAACCTTTGAAATGTAGACAATAACAAACATCCAGGAAAAAGTGAACAAGAACTACACATGAAACTAAATTAATCCATTTAAGTAATCTGTGTACCTATAGCTAGACAGTGTTTCGTCCTGTTGTACATAGGGTCGCTATGAGTCGGTACCGACTTGATGGCACCTAACAACAACAACAACATATTCCAGTAAAAAAAGATACCACTGACCAACATTCCCATCACTCATCTGTCAGTTGGTTATACTGTGGTAGCTTGTATGTTGTGATTCTAGAAGTTATGCAACTGGTATTTTAAATACCAGCAGGGTCAGCCATGGTGGACAGGTTTCAGATGAGCTTCCAGATGAAGACAGACTAGGAAGAAGGAGTGACGAACTACTTCCGAATATTTAGTCACTGAAAACCTTATGGATATCAATGGAACACTGTCAGATAGCACCAGAGTATTGACTAATGAAGCAAGATGAAAAGCATCAGAATAATATAAAATATTCTGGAAATTGAAATGCTGGAAAATGAATCCCTCAGGTTGGGAGGCACTCAAAAGATGACTGGGGAAGAGCTACCTCCTCAAAATAGAGTTGACCATGATGATGCGAATGGAGTAAAGCCTTCAGGACCTTTATTTGCTGATGGGGCACAACTCAAAATGAAGAGAAACAGCTGTAAACATCCATTAATACATTCATGTATATATTACATGGAATATATGAAGTGCGAATCTAGGAAAATTGGAAATTATAAAAAATGAAATAGAATGCATAAACATTGATAGCCTAGGCATTTACTGAGTTGAAATGGACTGATATTGGCCATTCTGAATTTGACAATCACATGACTTACTATGCAGGGAATGACAAATCGAAGAGGAATGGCATCACATTTATCATCAAAAAGAACATATCAAGATCTATCTTGAAGTACATACGCCTAAAAAGAAGAAAAGTTAATGCCACTATTATTCAAATTTGCGCTCCAACCACTAAAGCCAGTGATGATGAAATTGAAGAATTTTATCAGCGTCTTCAGTCTGAAGCTGATCAAACATGCCATCAAGATGCATTGATAAATACTGGTGATTGGAATGCAAAATGGATGTCAGAAGAGACTCTGAAACTTGCTTTCCAGTGTAGAGATGCTAAAGCAAATGGAAGAAGTGAGGAGGTACAAGAGCTGAACAGAAAATTTCAAAGGTCAGCTCGAGAAGACAAAGTCAAATATAACAAAATGTGCAAAGACCTGGATACATTTTAGGCATTAATAAATTAAAGTCTGCCAATGAATCCCCCAAAGGTACTCCACTCCACCTCAAGTAAGCCTCAGCCTGGAGGTACCCCAGCTCAACTTCTGTAGGTTGGCAAACTTTAGCCGTCTACTCCGTGAGCAAGTCTCTTGCCTGAAGGCTCAGCTTTCTTTGCTCTGTCCCAGTTCTTGTGGTCTCGGTTCGGCTGCCTCTGCTTCTCTGCTGAAGGGCTGTCAGTGTCCACACGCTCTATTACTGGCTCTTCTTTCTTGATGGTAAAGATCTGCCTGCCAGCACCCCAGCCCCACCCCCTTTTCAGCTTCTAGAGTGCATCTTAAACCTAGTGGGATGGCAAAACTGACCAATCCCATGTTAAGAGTTCCATGCACCCTATTTGCATAGTCCCACCCACATGGGTACCTTGTATCTTATTTACATTGATAGCAAGCCAGTCAATTCCCCTGGTGGGGCACAAACACCTAACATGTGCCCAGTCGTATCCATTTGTTAGGAAATACAAAGACTAAGGCCAGAAGAACTATATCAAGTAATTCACTGCACCACACTTGGCCATGAGAAAACGTACATTTTTGGGGAACCGAGCATTCCTGGGAGTCAAGAATGCAAATGTAATGGGAAAACTATTCTGCATTGGAAATGCAAAGGACTTGGGTGGGGGAATCAGCATGAAAGAGAGGAGAAGGATGTCTGAATAAAGCACTGGAGTGGCTGAAAAACTTTTGATACAGGACTGCCTTTGTTTCATTTCAAGTTCTCTTTTCCCAAGGCATTTGTGAATGAGTATTTATAGAAAACAAGAGAAAAAATTTGATACCATTGTGGGTTGACTTATTTCAACATAAAGTCAGCAGTCAACAGCCAAAATATGTTATTGAAGCAGGAACTCAAAGGTGTAAAACAAATATATGTTGCATGGGAATTTGTAAAAATAGTTGGCGTAGGGGTGGAAGTTCACTGAACATGATCCAATTCATGATATGAGGGTCAGAGGTATTTTTGACCAGATGCTAGACTTTCTCACTTAACACCTGGTTGTACTATTGTTTATTCTCTCTCTCTCTCTCTCTCTCTGTGTTTATATATCTGTATATATAATATATTCTGTTAGTCTCTCTCATCAAAATATCTATAACTATCTATTTATATATGTTGACATCTATATCCAGAGTACAGGTGTGGCACTGTAGAATAAGCACTGTACTGCTAACCACAAGGTCAGCAGTTCAAACCCACCAGCCACTTCTCATAAATCCCATATAGGGTCACTATGATTCAGAACCAACTCCATGGCATTTAACAGCAACAACAACATCTATCTCAAATACGTCACAATTAAGTAAGTGCTTATTCTTGGAATGCAAGGGTAGTTTAACACTCAAAAAGTAAGCCATGTAATTTATGATGCTGTAACTTAAAAAATAAATATATGATCATCTTACTGTATGCAGCAAAAGTATTTGAAAACATTAAACAACCATGCATGCTTTTTAAAAAACGAAGAAAACTAGGAGTAGAATCTGATCAAAGATAACCACAAAGAAACCTTTAGCAAACATGTAACATAATAGTGAAATAATAGTTTCTCCTTAACAGACTAGCTCATGTACGTTGTACAAATCACCAGTATTTAAAAAAAAAAATTTTTTTTATTGTGAATTGAATGAAGACAAGGCCATCAATTTTACGTTCAACAAATCACACACTTTGTTTCATCTCAATGATTGCAGTTCCCTCCCTGCAACAACAGTGATCCTCCTTCCTTCCTGTGGTTTCGATTTCCATTCAATTCATCTCCCCATCCCTTGTTGACTTTATCCGTGGGTAAATGGTGCCCTTTGGATTCTGAATGATGGACCATTCCATGATGAGCAGACCTTACTAGTACTGTTATATTCTCTATTCTACTGCTTGGCTGAAAATTAGACCATGAGGGTGAATCCCTTTATCCCTGCACATGTTGTAATCTTCTTTTCCCCTGAATTCTTTTCTCACCTTCTTACTTCTGACTACTCCAGGCTACAGGCTGAGATCTGAAAGCCAAAAAGACATACGCCTGTTGATTTCCTCTAAACCAGTTGATAACAGTAATATAAGACTGGTAGATCTAACTCAAGGTGACATGAAGCTAATTAGGGAGCAAGGTAGGAGAAGGCGTGTAACTCAAAAGTGTCCCCCATCTCACACTGCCTGTAACTCAGCACTTGAAGGAAGTGAAGTATCATTAGCAGCTGCGTTGTCACCGATCTGGCCTGGGTCCTCCCTTAAAGCCCTCGCCACACTGGTAGGTAATGAATGGATCAGTCTCTTTTGGAAGTCTTGGCCCACGAAGACATAGAGCATAGGGTTGAGGCAGCTGTTGAAGGCGGCCAGGCAGCTCATTGGATTCGCTAGGCATACCAGGATCTTCATGTACTTACTATTCGACATCACGTCTCTGGGCCAGACTGTGCGTAGGAGGGCAACCAGCTCAAAGGGGAACCAGCAGAGGAAAAAGGAAACCACAACAGCAGTGAGGACTCGTAAGGGACGGCTGGATTTAATGAGACCTCTTCTATGGATGTTGGCAGCAATGAGCCCATAGCAGATAGTGATGATGGACATTGGGGTACTGAAGCCAAGGATGAAGTTAATGATCCCACTGACCAGAGACACGCTAATGATCACGTCCATGACCTCCTCATGGGTGCCACTCCAAGATGTACAGTTGACAAGGCATTGGGTTTTGCCCTCCTTGTCATTTACTATTTTAAAGAAGATGGCACTTGGCAACGTGCAGACGATGGCAAGAATCCATAGGCCAGTGATCATCTTCTTGGCCAAACCTACAGTGCGGTGAATCTGGGTCCAGACAGGGTGCAGGACACAAATACAGCGGTCCAGAGCAATGAAACTCAACAGAAATATACTTCCATTCAGATTTAGGCCCATTACAATGTGAATGAATTTGCATAGGAACGGACCAAAAGGCCATTGTTTCATGGCCATTGAGACAATGTGGAATGGCAGGGTGACAGTGAAAGAGAAATCAGCTAAGGCCAAGTTCAAGTAAGAGATGGTGGTGGCTGTACGAGTCATCTGGAAGCCAGCCACCCAGATCACAAGCCCATTGCCCAGGGTGCCGAGGACAAAAGTGACCCCAAGTATCACCAGTGAGAACATTTTCAGAATGTCCGGCACATGGAAGATAGCGTCACATTCTTTCAGAGGGCTTGAGAAGTTAGTTTCCATCTTGTCAGCACCTGAAACATTTGAACAATGATCATTTCTCAGTTGTGGAACCGTTTTCCAGCATTCTTATTCATACCATACATAACTTCTAATATAGCTCCAACTCCACCCAGGATACCCACTTTACTGAGCCTTGTGACTGTTCATACTATAATATTGGAAATCATTAGGGGAAGAATAGTTTTCTATGGTCTCACAATTATTAATATGAATTCCAACTATCAGGCTAATGGCCAAGAAGATGACCCATTTCTGTCCACCAGCAGAAATACCCACCCAAGGATGTATGTTGTTGTTGTTGTTAAGTACCGTGGAGTAGGTTCTGACTCACAGCAACCCTTCACAGGGTTGTTATGGGTTGGAACCTACTCCAGAGCACATAACCACCACCAAGTCGTTGAATATACTAAGTGCATTTTACATGTACAGCACATCCTCGTCTGGACAACCGCTTATCAAGAACTCAACAGTTGCTTATGGTGAGTAGATGAAAGTGGAATATTAAGAGTATGGTGGGTTTATCTGAATGGACTATAGGTAGTGGCCTGACTAAAGGAATGTTTCCCCTTACTGGTATTGTATCAGTCCCCTTCCTGAAATGATGCCATAGCATGACTAACACCCCTATTTAAACTAGCCATCTGCTCAGTCCCTTCAGCCCTGTCTCACCCTGCACGCCCCCCCTCCCACCTCACCCTATGGAAAAATAATAAATTTCTTGCAAAAAACCTTGAAGGCCAGAATGAACCAAGGACACCTGACAAACAGGATAAAACTTAGCCCATCCATACAACCAAGATAAGGGTATATTGGTGGGTTTACTCCCAGTTACAGGATAAGGGTCTGCTGGAATTTGCCACCCCAGCTGACAAGACAAGTCTGTTTGTTTTAACCACTCTGTGTTTTTGTATAAAACCGTGTACCTCTCCTCACTTCGGGGTCAGAGTGGTTTGGGCTTGAGTTGAAACTCTGGCTGCCTACAATAAACTTTGCTCTTTAAATTTTCCGAGTTGAGTTCTTTCTTAATGTTACTGCTGCAACAATGAAGGAAATGAAAATGGGTTATTGCAAAAACAAACAAACAAACAAAAACAAGGCTGGACTGGAAATGCTGAAAGAGGAACTGAGGTTTTCCAGGGAAAACACACAGGCTATTCATTTCCATAAAGTAATCCCGTGTCTAGAGGATTAGGGGTCAGGTGGAAACCGAAATCCTACCAAGCCCTACCTAGAAATTTCGGGGCAGAAAGTTTGCATTTGAAAGACAAGCAGACCCACCCAGGTGTGCTGGGAAAGTCCAGGTTTTGCATTTGAAGGATGATTACAGGTGTGTGTGTGTGTGGGGGGGGGGGGATTTTATTTTTTATAGACCTGTTTTTCTTTTTGACCTGAGAACACAACACATGATTTGCTGTTTTTAAAGTCTGTGTGTGTGGTGGTCGGTGGCCTGGCTGAGAGAAAATGTCTGTGTGGAGCATTTGTTGTTGTTATAAAGTGCCATTGAGTCAGTTCCGACTCATAGCGACCCTATATAGGGTTTCCTAGGAGCCGCTGGTGGGTTTGAACTGCCGACCTTGTGGTTAGCAGTCCAGGGCTTATCCTGCAGTACCACACTGAAAATTAGAGTGGTTTTTTGAGACAGGAGTGGCGCTGCGGGCTAATACATCAGACTGCAAAGTCGTTTGAACTGCAAGCAAGGTCAGTGGTAGCTGCTCCTTGGAAACCCCATACAGGGTCGCTGTGGGTCAGAATCGACTCGACGGCACTTAGCAACAACAACAACATCAGAAGAAGCCCCTTCCAAGACTGGAGGTTTATGGAAAAGAAAAAGTAGATAGCCTGGTATGTATGTTGGGGTGACCCCTGTGTCCACAAGATGACTGGAAGTGGAAAAGGTGTAGCCATGAGGAGATAGGATGAGTTTGAACATGTTTTCTGACACCCATAGACCAAGCCCTAGGTGTCTAGGGCTGAGGGCATGGACAGCTGGTCTGAGGGCAGGGAGTTGTGGACCCAAAAGTCTATGGCTGGCACCCATGGACAGCTAGAGATGAGATGACCTGGCTCCAAGTAAAGGGTGAAGAGAGAGAGAGTTTTGATGCCGTGGAATAGGCGTTGTTAAGTGCTGTCGACTTGATTAGTGGATTGGGTTTCCAGTTGTCCTAGGTTACAGACCTCACTGCAGTTTGGTTGCTTGCCCTGGATGGAACCTTACCTATGCAGATACTCAGAATTCTAAGTGGAACAAAGATTCTTCAAACTAAGAGACATGTCTTCATAGACTACTGGTTTCATAGGAATGGGCATTTTAAATATTGTCTGAAGTGGAGCGCTGGAGTGGCACTGTAGGATAAGCACTGAACTTCTAACTGCAATGTCAATGGTTCAAACCCATTGGCTACTCCTCGGAAAGCATATACAGGGTTGCTATGAGTCAAAATGACTCTATAATACTTAACAATAACAACAAACAATGATCAAATAAATTTTGTCAAAGCCACCCACTTGTGGTATTTCTGTTGTAGCAGTGCTAGAGGATTGAAACAGAATTTAGACAGCACAGCTGGAGGGCCTAGGAGGTAGACACCATATAGGAAATGTCCTAACAATATTTTTCAATTGTCTGACCCCAACTTACCAGAAGCTGAGATCTTTGTCCTGTGTCCAGATCTTGTGAAGTATCTCAATGTCTGAAGACTTGGACAGAGGCTTTATTGACGGTTCCAGGGGGAGGGACAATGGTGATAGAACCAATTGGGTGTTAGGAACCTGGGACTACTCATAATTTCTAGAAGGCACTACAGATATATTGTCACTAGACCCTACACGTGTCTGAATGTCCCCAGTCCCTCCAAGTCTCCAGGAGTTCAGTCCTTTCAACATTCAGTGTCAAGGAATCTGAGTGTTCAGTCCCCCTTTCCCTTAGAGACTCAGGAGAATGGAAGACATAGTTACTGACGTAGGGAGAATTAAAGCCAAGGAAACAAAACAGAGATGATTATAGTAAATGGAACAGCAAGCAGAAACAAAGATGTAAAGAGGTATGTGAGACAATACCATTGTTACAGATTTAATCTCCCAGCCTTCTGCTACTATGCAAGTTGATTTGTGAGCTGCTAACATGAAGAGATGGATCTTTGCTGAGTTTTTAAGCACCATCGAACACACCAGAGAATTATTGTCAAATCCAAGAGACACACCATGAAGAAAAGCAGAATGACACAAACCGAGTCCAAGAGAAAGAGATAACGACAACTAATTTCTACTCCCCCCACCCCCGTATCAATAGATTGTTAACAGATATAAGTTATAGTAAACCTGACTATGAATGACTTAAACCCTGAGGAAATTTACTATTGACAAACATTTTGGAAGGGAGTGATCACAAGATAGGTTTCAGTCTGAACCATAATTGAGTGTAATTTAATCATTTCACTCCACCATCCTCATTCTGTTGGTTTACTTCTAGAAGCTTCTTGGCACATGACCACAAGATGGCTGCCACTATTACAGAAATCACATCCACATAATTTCCCAGGCCAGAAGGATGGGAGTGGGCAAAAAAAAAAAAAAAAAAGTTTTGTTCACATGCTTGGGTGGGACTCTGCAAAAAAGGTGTATGGAACCTTAATGAAGAGATTGGTCATTTTGCTATCCTGCTAGGCTTAAAAGATAGTTCCAAAGCAAGGGAGAACTTGATTACCACTACAAAGAAGAGACAGAAACAGAACTTACCTTTGAACCTTGGGTCCCCACACTGGGAGCATCTAGACTCAGGAGACAGAGGTGTAATGCCAGAATGATGGCAAGAAGTAGCAACTGAGAAACGATGTAAAAGGGCAGTAGAAGCAGGGAAGTGGAAGGAGACAGGCTAAAGAAAGTGTAGTGGGTTTCTCAACTCACAGAGTGAGAGCTGGGTACCTTGGGGGAGGAGGCTTGCTGGTGGAACGGGCACCGCTGGGCACTTGGTGGCAGAGCTGAAAGACTTTTGCAACACTTTTGCCTGTGCAGGGCAGAGGTTAGGCTGAGTGGTCCAGGGTCCGAGGTGTTGGGGGCGATTTGAGCTGAAGGCCTCAGACTTGGCGGTTGTTTAACCAAAGGATTGCAACTAAACAGTTGTGGTCCAGAAAACGGGGCTGCTCACAGGTCATCTTGTCCCACTGAGGAACTTGCAGGGCTGCCTTGCAAGGTTTTTTCCTTGTATGACCTTAAGTTCAAGTCTGCCAAAATATCTTGCCCTGCCTCTGTCTGTCTCCTTAGCAACCACAAGTTACATTCTTCTGATAAAATCCTGCTTACTGTTTGCATCAATACACCAGATGTTTTTTTTTTTCCCTGCCCCCAGCACCTCCTTTGATTTGTGTATATAATAAACAGGCTAAACATAAGTCGGAGTCACAGTATCTCCATCAGAGTACTGTGTCCCACCTGGTTTCAACTTTACTTATTTCATTTTGTGTCTTGTTTCTTCCTTTTTTCCTAATCTCCCATCGCCCCTACTGGGGTTTAATCTCTCCACGTGGGTCGCTGAGTATAGCCACTTGTCGGACGCAACACCGAGGGAGAGTCCTGCCAGTGTGTATGGTTGAGAAGAGACTGTCCTGATTGAAGATCTGCATCCTCATCACTCCTGAGGCTGTTACTTCCCTAATAAACCCCATAACTGTGAGTATAGTTTGTGAATTCTGTGTGGCTACTGCAATAAATGATCAAACCCAACAGAGAAGTAGAGAGTTCTGTAGGAGGAGGCGTTAGTTTCAGAACTGGTGACGAAATGTTGGCGAGAGGAAGAATGTCTGACCTCTGTCTCAAAGAAATCAACCTTGGGCTGAAAATGATTCTCTCTTCCTCTTGGGAAGTTTGATGGCATTACCACCACCACATTTTTGCAGTAGTTCTCCAACATCTCCACCACCTTGATCTCTTGCAATAAACACTATTTGTGTATCTTTTTTAAAAATTTTAATTAAGGTTTTTTATTGCGGATTGAGTAAATGTTC